GTATATAAGTCTACTGCTATTGCTACTGCTATTTCTGTCCTCACAGTAAAACCATACTATATATACAATTGTAGAATACTGCTGTTAGAAAAGATTTATGTCAGTTTTCCATATTGCCAAATATAGCTGTTTTTCTATTGTCTCATATAAATGTTTTGTTTCAAATCTATTTTTCCACTTTGGCTTAAACCTCCTATTTAAAAATAAACCTTTTATGACACACTTGAAAGATGTTTACAAGAATTGGACAGTTATTAATCAAAGGATCTACCGAGGAAAAAGGATACTATAGGGTGTTAGTTAATCTAAACAAACTTCTGCTTCACTATAAACAGTAAAGACATTTTTGTCTTGATCTGAAAGAGGATGTAGTATAATGTAAGGCAGTTCATGCAATTCAATAAAAAGCAAATACGTATAAGTTATTACTTGGAGTCTAATTACAGATCCCTGCCAGATGTTGAAGAAACGGTGGAAACAGAGTCAGACAGACTAATTCTGCTCTGTTAGGCTACTTGGAAACCCCAGCACCTCAAGCGTGAGAAACTCACTGCTGTAAAATCCACACAACAAAGAAGAAAATTTGCCATCTTCTTTAATGTCACATACTCAAGAGTTTGCTTTTGATGTTGGTTATCCAATTGGTTTACTAAAAACAAGAATGACTCCAGCCACATGCATTTTAAAAATTAGTCCTGGTTCCTTGGCCTTCAAAGATGGAATTCATTATAAAATTGCCATTTGGCCTGACAGATTTTATTTGGTCCTTTTATCAATGTTACATATCCTAAATCAGCTGCAAAGTATTCAGCTGACCTTGGAAATGTTATTTCCAACATCCTTTTAACTGAAATCTATCAATAACTTTAAAATCATAAAAATAATGATATTAATACATTACTTGGTTAGCAGTCATTAACAAGCATATTATGCAGACATTCTCAATATTCTTAAATACAGTAATGAAAGTGAAATTTACTAGCGCAAAAACCCAAGCACAAGAAACCCAAGAAAAGGAATGAGAAATACCTTTTTCCTCTTTTCAGATATACAGCTGCTTGGAAGATTTGGCTATCATCTTTTTCTGCTCCTTCGTTAAAAACACTTTCACTTTATTAGTTCAGCTTCCTTGGCACTATAACAATTTCCATGCAGCTTTAAGTAGAGTACCACGAAATATGGTACTCTGTGTGCAAATATAATTTTGAACACCTCATAATTTTTTTTAAAGTTGTCCTGTTCTCCTGATACACACAAAACACACACATTGAAGAGATTGCATTTTCTCTTGTAAGTTACAGGAGTTTGATTTTAAGCTGCTTTTTATATCTACTTTGTCATTATTATGACAGTCAGATTTAGTGATTAAGGCACTAGGCTATAAAGCAGGGGACTAGAACTTTAGCCTTGAAAGCCTGGGTGACCTTGACCTGTCATTCTCTCTCAGCCCAACTCACCTCACAGGGTTGTTGTTGAGGGAAAAATAAGAGGAGGAAAGTGTGTTGGATATGTTTGCCACTTTGAGTTATTTGTAAAAATAATAAAGGCAGGATATAAACAAATATATACATAAATTTATAATATTGAAAAAATGGGGAAAAGGTTAGCTTTTTGAATGTGACACAAACTTCATAATATTTATTACTGTTATGTTTATACTCCATTTCTCAGTCGTTAAATATCCAAGGGACTTCAAAATGAACTGTAAATAATTTTGACTTAGCTATGAATTTACCTCAAATTGGGTAAATTTGTAAAAAATTATTTTTCATTTGTAAAATAATGGGTTTATTTTAATGGATTGCTTCTTTTAGGTCAAATGAAATTGGAGCCCCAAAATAATTACATTCATGAGTCTAAATCTCTTATTTGAAGAGTAAATTGTAAAAGAGAGCTAACAGAATCAAATGTGAGAAATACCGTGATTAGACTATTTAACCTCATGCTTGGAAATAAATTGTCAGGATTACTTTCATCAAAGATAACTTTTCTTTAATCAATTTCAGAATTGATTTTTCAAAAGCCTGTGGAAAAGCCCGAATTGTTCCATTGTTTGCATGATGGGATCAGTACAACTTTAGAAAAATAATAATAACAAAGTTGGACCTGTATCTATGCTTGAGTTTCTGGCTTAAAAAGAACAGTTTGAGAAATCTACACAGCGAACAACAAGCAGAGAACACAATATATATCAGGAATTTCTAATGAAGAAAAAGGGGTAACAGACAAGGGACAGTAGGCAACAAAACAGTAATGAGTTGTTATTGCTAGAGAATATTATTCTACTTTCTTCCTTTACATTCTTCCAGTTAGTAGGATATTTAAGAACAGCAGTTAAATACTACTTCATACTAAATAGAGTTGAGCCTTGGAAATTCCACAGGAAGGATTTTCTGTTATGGAAGCAGGCAGGGGGAAAGACTATGTACAATGGTAGCAGGAGGGAAAGTTAGTAGATTGCTATGTGAGAAATACAAGCTTTAATAAAAATGAGGACAGACAGAAATAAAAGAACACTGCAAATAATGCAAAAAGCAAAAGAAAACCGAATCAAAACAATGAACAAAAAGCATATTCCGGACAATTATGTGATAGCAGAAGTTGTAAATTTTTGCCAATTCAAATGAGCAGCATTGTTGCGTAATGGGAGAGGTTTTTCAATGGTCAAAATTCAAACCAGAAAGAAGAAAGGCAACACAGAGTTTATATGCTACATATCATACTCTTTGTTTTTCATCTTGCCAAGAATTGTGAGGCCTTCTCCCAACAGCACTTCTGGAGTATATTTAGCGACTAAAGCTGCAGTGTGCACAAATGTCACATTCCCATGAGTAAAACCCATTTAATTAGCCCCTCCTTCCCAAGATATTCCCATGAGATATTTGCGTAGAATTGAAAAGCTGAACAAATGGATGTGACATCATCAAGGCATCAGTGGCATTGGAAACAAAGCAGCAAGTGACTGAAGAATTAGTACAATTAAAGGCAAGTCATTTTTGAAGGGTGTGAAACAAAGTAAAGAAAAGCACCTTTCACAAGAATAACAAAACAAAACAAAACAAATCACCAAAAGCATTTTGCAAAATAAAAATTCAAGGCATGAAGAAAAGTATTTGCAAGAAAATAAATCCACAACCAAACTGAACACACAGAAGATTAAGCATAACACTCTCTTTAGAAAGTGTTTAATGTCTCTTTCCTTTGCCCTTGAACAAGGAATAAGCTGCAAGTAGGTTTGGGTGTGCAACATATTATATTGTTGGTTTGTTTTGCTGCAAGTGGAGCTGAGGTGGGCAAAGGAAGGAAGAACAGCACAAAGATATGTGATAATGGTAAACAACCATGCAGACACCTCTGCCACCATTGTTTGCTTGCTTTAACGTGTACAGACTGCTTCCAGCTTTGTTAATATTCCTAATTAGACCCCAAAGATTCCATGGTATTTAAATAAGCTAGTTAAGTTCTGACAAATTCCCTCTGGTAATTTCATTCAGAGAATTTCAAGTCAAAATAATTATGATCCAATAAGCTTTCCACTTATGATAAATTCACCAAAGATTTGAAATTTGGAGTGAAAAGTAGACATCCTGTCCATTAAGACTGCTGTAAAATATTTTTTAAAAAACCACATAGAACAAGATGCCTTTGTCAATTTGGTAATTCTTTATTTATTTTTTAATAGCAGTTAGACTTATATACCGCTTCATAGGGCTTTCAGCCCGCTCTAAGTGGTTTACAGAGTCAGCATATCGGCCCCCACAGTCTGGGTCCTCATTTCACCTACCTCGGAAGGATGGAAGGCTGAGTTAACCTTGAGCTGGTGAGATTAGAACCGCTGAACTGCAGATAACAGTCAGCTGTAGTGGCCTTCAGTACTGCACCCTAACCACTGCGCCACCTCGGCTCATCTCATCTTTAAATGTAGAGACTGATCAAAGTTGCCTGTTGAGAAGTGTCACTGAACTGGTGAGGCTGGACTGAATTATTTTCACGATCTGAGCATTTATGATCACAATCATTCCATTTGAAATTTAGCAGAATGTTTTTTTTTAGGAAGAGTAAGGTTGAAGTTAGCAGTAATTGATGCATCCCAAAGCCCCTTTTCTCTATATATTTAATATGTGATCTTTCATGGCTTGGTCCTAGCCCATTCTAACTTTTACTGAAAAATATTAATCACATATAAAGATATAGTGCTGCCTTAGGATTACCTGCCTGAAAAGGAGTATGCTAATATAGCTGATAATTCTCTTAATGAAGAATTTAAAGGGCTTAAAAACAATTCGATTTCTGAAAATGAAATTTAAAAAGCCAACAGAGAAATGAACCCCCTTCACTAAATTATTTCTTTTTTTTTAACCACAGATAAAGAAAAGCCCAAACAAAGTGGCATTTTACTGTGGTCAGTCATCAGCAACTCTGTTTAATTCTTTCAAGCACAATCTGCTCAGAAAATTTCTTTAAAATGAATGGAGTCACTTCAAGGTGAATATCATTTCAGTTGAATTTGAATTGTAGAATCTCTTGTAGAGTGTACCTTTAATATCAAATGATTATTTTTTTTAATGTCACTTCACGGTTGAACGTGCTGCTTAAATTAATTAAAAATAAAAAGTAGTTTTATGTACTGTACTCCACTGGAAGTGCAAGTGGGGATTAATGTAAAGCCAAGCTTTATATTTATATTTTAGAATCATCATTGTTAACATTACTATTACCATCTGAGTTGAATTAAACCTTGCAATCTTGTATCAAAACCTACTCAAATGTATAGTCTTACATTTGTTCTGTGTGGTTTTTCATTGAATGGCTAGAATAAAATTTATGTATTTATTTATTTTTAAAAATGCTTCGTTTTGGTGTGTTTGTATATGTGTGTGATACACAATAGCAGAATGAGGACTTTAACTTCATGGTACCATACAGTAGCTGGAAGCAGTTACACTAAAGTCAGTCCCCCGCCCTTGCCCCCACAGGAAGAATGATTTCCAAGGCCTTACCCTTTTTCTCTTGGTGATTATGAGACGAGACAGCCACATATGGATTGGTATTCTCAGATGAGCCAATGTGATCCTTCCAATTTAGTATGTGCCCTCCGGCATCATAACCCTGTTGGGCTGGAGAGTCTGAAGTGGGAAGTAGCGAACTGGAGTGTCCTGTTTGCACCATAAATACAGTTAAGGACAGTGAGAACAAACAGTTAGTAGCAAGTAACATTTCTAAAGGTGTTTGTATGTCCATATCAAGGAAGGAATCTGAGCTCTTGTAAATCAAAAGTTTGCTCACATTTGGAACACACAGGACAACATCGGACAGAAAGATAGGATAATCTGTGAGCTACATGAATTACCCGAAAATTTATTTATATACAAATAAAATGTGTATGTGTAACTCCTGACTATTTGTATAATAATCCTACAACTATGCAAAACATAATGGTAGCTGAAACCAGTAGAACATTATGAAATGTGAGCAGAGTTCATGGATATGAGCAGAATCAATTGAAACAAAATAACATGGACTCTTATAGATTTTAATATAATCAAAGACTGACTTAAGAGTCTAGGGAGAAACAATACTTTTCAAAGCTACAAGCCCACACCAATGGGTGGGGCCAGAAACCAGAATGAGAAGCAAACATGTTCTCTTCCCAACATTTCTTTGTCTTTCTGCCATCTCATACACCAAGCCATACCTGACTATAAGCTGGGTCATCATCTTTTGCAGAGGGATTTTCAACTTAAGAAAAGGGCTACAAAGAATTAGTCCTTATTGTTCCATTGTTCCTTATTGTTTATATCCTGTCTTTCCATGCTATCAGATGATTGCATACTTTTGGGGTTATTATACAAAGTAGAATTGAAAAAAAATACATATATATTTGATATAAATGATATGATTAAGAAAGTGACTGACTCCAAGCAATTCTGGATGGCTTACCATTTTAAAATCAGTAAAAATAAAATAAAGAATACAAGCCACCTACAAGGAAACTATATATAGCAGACGAAAAATCCCACAGTGGCTCACTAATCTTGGGAGAGTAGCCAAGCGAGAAGCCATATGCCATTCTATTCTATTCTATTCTGTTCTGTTCTATTGCCGATTTAAGTAAAAACAAAAGAGGCCTTATGTGGTTCTTTCTAAAAAGTGGGTACTACAGCTGCTGCAGCCCATCATAGAAAATGCTTTCAAATGAAAAGTGGAGGAGGATTAAGCCAGACAATCTCATGCAATACAAGTTGAGAATAAAGACCCAATCAATGTTGTTCAACTCTACTTAAAAATGACTTATCCACAGAAAACAAGTATCCACCACAAGGTCTTATGCATGGGGAACACCTATCTCCTTCTGCTACCTTTCCACCACCCACTGGAAGACAAATTCTGTAGCAGGTATCAAAATGGATACAAAACAAAAATTTCAAAATTAGCCTATTATGTTGAGAGGATTACATCAACTGGAATAAAAAAGTTACAATGGAAGGTAGACAATGAGATTTTATTTTGCAGATCAGATCAACATAGAACACAATACTGGATATAAAGACTACTTGAAATTTCTGGACTGCATAAAGATTCTTTCTCACATCCAATGCAAAACCTTTCATTTAACTAATGTGCATTTTTGGTCTGGTTTCAAAAGATACCATTAACCTCAGTAATACAAAGTGATGTGGCTTTCTTTTGGATGATCAGGCCCTACCGCAGTTTTGGAAAATCCAGTGGACTAAATAATACAGAGTAGAGAGGAGCAAAGGAGGAAAGCTATAGGTAGCTAAAGGACAAAGGAGAAGGATGTGAGGCAAACCAGCAGGCTTTGTAAACTATCAGTCAGGTTTCCCGGAGTCTTTATCTTTTTCAAAACTCTTCAGGCTAAAGCTTATACTTACTGAAGCCCAAAATATATGAAGCACCAGATTGCTTCAGAGCACAACAGTACTTGTCATGGTGAGTACTGAACTATATTATTTTTTTATTGTAAGTTTAATTTCATCAGGCTCCGATAACACTGAAGACTCAGAACTGATTATCAGACTTTACAGAATATTAAACTCATATCTAATCATATAACATCAAATCATATAACTATCAGAATTATAATTCCTTAAATATAAAAACAGGGAGCTACAGAAAATAAACTTCCTATTATGTATCTACGAGTTATTTGGAAACATAATTCAAAGATGATTGCAAAGGGGAAATGAATCTTGGCTTCAGGTCTTAGTTACTATTTTTAAAAAAAAGGAAAACATGACTTCTATGTAAATGGGATTACTGCAACTAATATCCTTAAAATTGAACTTCATAGAGATCCTTGGGGAGGGTTGCTGGGAGTTTGCAGAGTCCAGGAGAACGTCTAGCTAAGATTCTGTACAGTTCAGAGAACTCCCAAATCCCACTCTTGGCTGGCCCCACACACCCTGCCCCTCCCCTCCCCTGAATCCCCCATGCAGCCAGTTTTGGATGCAGGGCATGCACTGAGGCTTGGGGAGGGTGAAAAATGGGCCTACCGGAAGTTTGAGAAGACTGGAGGTCCGTTTTCTGCCTCTGGAGCCTGGGGAGGTTGTTTTCACCCTCTTCGGGGCTCGAGGAAAGCTTCCGGAACCCGAGGAGGGCAAAAACACCCCCCACACCATGGTGTAGGAGACTGACTAGGCCACACCCACCATGGCCATGCCCACACAGCAACCAGACAGACAACCCTTTGCTAAAATTTTTGAAGCCCACCCCTGGGGAGTGGGGAAGTATAGGTTGCATGTGACCTAACATCTGTCAAGATTGCATACAAATACAGAAGGAATGTTTTGATATATTGATTAGGGAACAATTCTTATGCTGAATACCAGTTTCATGTTCATCTTTATCCATAGTTCCAAGAACATGATTAGCCATAAAAAATGTGTTGTGAGTTTTCACCCAGCCTTTTCTGAACAGTCCTAACATTTGTTTACATATTATTTATCTTTAAAAGGGATGTGGTTCATAGCACAAGATAGCAATTGTTTCCAAAAGAATTATAAGTGTATGTGGCTCTTGACAAATAACACTTATATTTTATATCTGGATTTTATATACATTTTGCTCCACATTCAATACAGAAACATTAGCTGTTCAATAGGTGATTTTATGTTTAATCTGTTCATATCAGTAAAGCCTTTTTTCTTAATGTGATAATCTAGAAGAAATATTTACCCAAGGGATAAACCATATGCTTCAGCTATATGCAGAACTCAGTGATAATGAAAAGCTATAGCTATATAAAAAAATTAATGGGTGCCAGGTGGCAGCAGAACTAGAAAGAGTTTCATACAAATGTGGAAATTTAGGCTTTTCCCCTCTATTACTAACACATTAGGGTCTGTTTGGAAAGTACATGTGTAACACCTCAGAAATTTTGGCAAATGCTAGGGTTGAAGTACACTAAACAAGGATCTTTATTTCCAATCTGGGAAGCTGCCAGGAAGATTTGGTTATTAATAGGTTATCTGATTACAGTTTGATCCTGAATCACACAAGAAACAGACAGTGTGAAATAATATTGGAAATAGTGTGGAATGTTTTACTGGAATGCTTGGGCAGGATAAAGGATCAACACTTTAGATCAGTTGATTCTATTCTATTCTATTCTATTCTATTCTATTCTATTCTATTCTATTCTCCATAGATGCAATTGAAACATTGTAAACATTTTGATTAACTGGTATGGTGTCTATGGTTTAAAAGAATTCAAGCTATCTGCAGTTTTAGGATGCTTAAGACAAGGAAAGCTTGAAGGGTAACTAACAAATTAATTTTAGAAATAATTAAAAAAGTAAAATGAAAGTTAATAAAAGTTATATATCTCAGTTGCGAAATGAAGAATTGAAATATCCTGTTTTGTGTGCAGGTGTGAAGAAACATGAGATATACTTCTTATGATTTAAAAATGAAAGTAATTTATCAGAAAATATTTCATATTTATTGGAGGCCCTCAAAGAATATTTGAAAAGCTATGGACATTAGATTTTGTAAATGTTCATTTTATATATAATAAATTTGAAAGTACTTTTACTCATATGATCAGGCCTTGTACAAGAACAATCTTATTTTGGTTTCAAATACTGCAAACATCAGTACAACTTTGGGAGTACAAATTATAGTCAAAGGTCTTTATGTGATGCTGAACAATATTTTTTAAATGTGTCATTTGTCATTTCATGAAGTATTTTGGTTCTAATGAGCGTAGTGATATCTTTCCAATTTTACATATACCCTCTGATTTTAAGCACTGGACCCAGAATATGAACATATCTATTTCTGCAAATGCAATATGTTTCTATATCGCCTAGATTTATTGATCAACATGAGGACTGAATCCAAAACTCGTTTATTCATGTTGTGGGGGTGTTTCTCTATTTCAATAGCTTCCATAATTATCTTCTTGTTGAAGTGTTCAGTTTTGGAGATTAATTTGTTTTTTTCAAAATTAATTTCATGTCCTGTAGCTTTATGGTGCTGGAAAAGGGAGGAAGTTTTTTCTTTTTTTCTTACTGCGTTCTTGTGTTCTGCGATGTGTGCATTTATTTTCCTGTTCGTTTGTCCTATGTATATTGCAGGGCAGATTTTGCATGGTATTTTGAATACTCCTTGGTTTTCTAGCTGGATTTTGTCTTTGGGGTTTTGTTTATTTTTTGGTCAGTGTTGAAGGCTGTCTTGATATTGTGTTTGTGGAGAATTTTGCTGATTTTATCTGTGGTGCCTTTGATGTAAGGGAGGAGGGCGATGCCATTGTCCTGTTCTGTGTCTCGGTTCTGCGTCTTAGTTCTTGGGTTCTTGTAGTGATATCCTGAGTCCTGTGCTGCAACCTCAGGGGGGTTGGCTGCGTTGCAACATCCTGAGCCTTTGCGTTGTGTTGAGTTCTGTGGTGTAATGTCCTGAGCAGATGACTGTGGTGTAACATCTCAGGCTTTGATTTGGCTCCAAGTTTGCGGTCTGGCCATGTATTCATGGTGTGTGTCAGTTTGCTTTGTGTGTGGGGTCAGAGGTGTAAGGAGGTTACAACGCAAAGATTCAGGATGTTACAATGCAGCCAACCCCCCAGGAGGTTGCAGCCCAGGACTCAGGATATCACTACAATAGAGCAAGAACTAAGACGCAGAACCGAGACACAGAACAGGACAATGGAAACAGCCAATCTGCAAACATCAACTCCATCAACTAATCAAGATGTTACAACACAGCCAACCACTCCACTTAAAGCAACAAAGCCAGCACTCCACACACCCCCACCAATATTTATAGAAAGATGGCAGCTCCAATCATGTTTTGCTCACACAAGCACGAAGCTGAAGACACCAGCCTGAAGATGGAGAGTGGGACGTCATCGAAACGTCACCAAGATACTCTCAATCTTACCCAGAAAAAGACCCAAGTACGCAAAGACCTGCATACCTGTACCCGTGAAAATCTATGAAAACATACATACATACACACACACACACATAATGAGCATCAATATTTTTTTTTGAAACATGACTGTTCTGTCAGTTTTTTAAAATACACTCTTTATGGGCATTTCATCAGCCTGATTAGAGGTTTGCATCATATATTGTATAGCAACAATACAATTTATATAGTTCAGCAGTAGAGTAGTATACAAAAGAGAAATTAGATTTTGTTAGAGCACTGAAAGGTAAGGATTTGGAAAATTTATCATAAAGTAGTTAGTTATATGTTGCAAGATGCCCAATGTATTATTTTGTTAAGTGACTACAGCAACTAAAGGAACTCAGAAAGTTAAATTATCAGTGCAGAGGAAGGGTGGATGTAAATGTACTATGAAGGCTTGGTTCACTAAAACTGATGAAGATAAGAACAAAGTCTTACAGGAAGAAAACCTGTTGTATCCTTCAGTTCATATGCACATGCAGTTGGCTTCTTGGTGGTTAGTTTGGAGGTGGGAAATCACTATGCAGAAAAGGTCAAATGTGCAGGGTATTTTTTTTAACTTGTAGCAGAGTTTTATAAAAAAAACCTACAGAGGTTTGATATTCCAGTGGAGCAGCCAAAAATGAGACTAAATAAACAGGGAAGTGATTACAGTGAGCAAAAACATCTATTTGCCTGGAATTCGGAAATATGCTATGGCATGTCCCTATACCACTGTATTTGGTTCCCTAGGATATAGGCCAAATGACCTATGTGTATGTTTATTCAAACAGACATAACTTCTTTGTAATTTAAATAATTTTCTACTCTCACCCTAGTTGAAATAAAAAAAGTATTTACAAATAAAACAATTGCATGCTAGATATCATAATCAGATTTATCTTATGAAGGGTTATACCAACTAATGGGAAATAAGCTAACTGAATGTAGTGATATTTACTTCTTCCAGCTATAGAATTACACTATAGGATGACTGTCACTATTGTGATATTTAGCTTTATTATTATACAAAAAAGGAGCTTGAAAAATAAAAAAATAATTTTATTTTTACTTTAAAACAATTCTGAACAAATGCTGTAAGAGATGGGATAAAGTTGTTTTAAGGGTTGGGATCAATTCAACTCATTAAAGCATCCATGCCTTTTTATATTGAAACCTGAAAAAAAACCAGCTGCTTTGATTAAAGGTGCTGATCTTAAGTGACAAAACAATTTTTCCAAATTGGTTTTGAAATGTGTACAACTGTAATCATTTTAACTTTGGCAAGTGATCAAAGCAGCGGTTGAAATTTCATCTTCTGCCAACAGGTCAATGGCCAAAATTAAAAACCACATTGTCTTTCTTGATTGAGGTGTTTCTATCTTGTTTTGGAAACAAACTTACAGTACATTTTTGCCTTTATGCAATCATCCGCTAAGACTTATTTGATACCCTATCTATTCAGCTAGCCTTGGGGAAGTTGCAATGCCATGTGAGAATAGCTCTGTTGCTTCTCCTTAAAATTAATTGCTTAAGTTATGTATTTGTTTCAGAATTTGGAAAAAAAATGACAAAATGCTTTTTTTAAATAGCAGAAATCTGTTTAAGAAACCCTACACAGTATAGAAGGAGATGCTAGATTGAACTGGATGCACATTATTAATTTTGTGCTAATAAAACCACAGATAGCAACGCCAAGTGATATGAATTTGTTATTTGGGAAGAAATATTTTGATAATGTTTACTAAAATTTCAATTATTATGCATAATACGTTATCTAGGAAGTACATTTCTAAGGGGAAAGTTGCACATTAAAAGGCTATATTAATTAGAATCCAGGATGAGCAAGTAAATGTCTACTCAATAATTACCCTTACTCCCCCCTTTATTTCCTATGTTTTTGTTTTAAACATCTGCTTTATCAGGGAGACACACCCTGGATGAATACTGATTTTATAAAGATTGTTCCCTTCCAAAGCTGGGAGTGCTAATTAATTCTGTTAAAAAAAAAGTAGTGTAATTGCATGTTGCGTTGTCTATGCTTTCCAAATCTTCCTTTTAACTGAGTTACATGAAACTTAATTTGATTCCATCCACCTAGTTCTATCACCTTTGATGCTTGTCTGTGGGTCACCCAGGTGTTCCCAACCTGGATGTTGTAGCATGTCTCCCCACTTTTTGGTAACTTTGAGTCAGTGTTGACTCCTAGCAACTACCTGGACTAGTTCCTGCAATTTTGTTGTCAACATTTTTGGAAGTGGTTTGCCATTGCTTTCTTCCCGGGCTGAAAGAAAGGTCCAAGGCCCAAGAAGAAAGAAAAGCTCAAGGTCACCCAGCTGGCCTAAGGCAGGACTAAAATTCAGTCTCCTGGTTTCCAGCCTAGTGCCATAACTATTACACCAAGCTGGTGCTACCTTATTTTTATATTGATTACAAGATTTATAAGAACATGATAAACCTTTTGGGTACAAGCAGTTTTAAAAAAACTTGTATAGCTGAACTGCTATTTATCCAAACTATACCAGTCTCATAAACTCAAATTGTTTTTCTTTTCAACATTCAGCATTCTCATAATACTGCTGTTTATTTGTGCATACAATGTTGAAAAATATGTTCATAATAGTACCCTTACCAATCAGTACTGAGGAATAATTATATCAAAATTCCTCAAAATTACAGTCTTGGCTGTATTGTCAGACCTGAGGATTTCATGTGGTTGGGGACCTGCGAAGATGGCTTCATTGTTGAGGTGGCTATTTTTACCCCCCCTCTCCTATGGTTTGTATTTTCACTTTTATGACATTTATTAATAAAAGTTTTAAAATATTTTTGGTTTTATGATTGTTCTTATTGATTTTTATTCACCACTCCAAGATGCTTTGGTTGAGATAAGCAGCTCTAGTAATTTGATTAATCAATAAAATAAATATATGTCATGTATTTTAATACTTCTCCCATATAGACCAATCCCTTTTTCTATCCCATACAAAAGAATGTGGATCAACATCCACAAAATGTTTTGATTTGGTTCCATAAATTGTAATGCTCTTAATGATAATGCTCCACTCACTTAGAGATTTTATTAAAAATTACCCAAATTTTTTTTGGGTTCAAACATTTGAATTTCTAAACTACATGGCTTGAATTTACAGTAAGTTCAGTGGAAGATTTCCCATAGAGAAATGACTTAAGTAATTTTAATAATTCAGGAGTTAATGGAATTTTGTATCAGTTTAGTGAACTAGGCCACAAAATGGAAATGACACTATCATCTGTAGGATCGAAACTAATATTATGACAAGGAACTGAACAAAGATTATTTGAAAAATCCATAAACTGACCATACACTGTAGTGTAAGACATTTCATGGTCTGAGGAAGGAGCTGAAATGTCTATGAAAAAAATTGCACAATATTAAAAACAATTAAGGTATTTATTTATTTTTTAGGTATTTTATTAAAATTTATAGGCCGCCCTTTTCCCTGAGGGGACTCAGGGCGGCTTACAACCATTAGGGGGGGGGAACAATACACAATAAACGATATGAAAACAAGATAAGTAGTAAAATAAAATTAAAATATGGAAATGTTTGACAAGTCTGACAACATGATTCATTTGAAACTGATCTGCACAGACAGGTATTCATACAAAAATTATTAGGGATTTTCCTTACCATTCAGTGCTACGAACGAATCTGAAAAAAGAAAAAGGAGAGGAAGGAGAAGGAAAAGGAGGGAAAGGGAAAGAATTATTTCTAATATCATTACATTCTCTTTCACAGGTACTAATTTACATACATCCTTGCTACTGTTTGATACTTTGACAACACTGAGTCTTGAGATCAGCCTATCAGAATGGAGTTTCTCATAAAATTTTGTAATATTTTTACTGCACTTAAAAAAAAGCTGGAGGGGAGGTTATTTTTAAAGAAAAGCATAAGGATCTTGAAGTAAGCAGGGTACTTTTTATTTGACTGCATGCAGTGGGAAATCAGTACTACTTCTTAATCTCAGACATAAATTTTTTAGGAAGATTAGAATCAGTGCCTTATATATGTTATACACTTCTTCTTGGATCAGAAGACACCTAAAAACTTTCTTCCATAATGTATCTTCTTATTTTATACGGAGATCATTAAAAGGTTAGCTTCAATGGGATTCTGAACTGAGGATTGTCACCCTTAACACTATACATTTCTGTGTTAAACTATTTATTTCATATTAAAATATTGAAATTATAGCTCTGACTCATTTTGCCACAATTGCGGTAACCACAATATTCTCTTGGCATGATCAAAGTTCATTTTATGAGAAACAGTACCTGAGATGTAGTAGATCATCTAAATATAAAGGAATGCTTATACAAGGCATCTTGGTAACATTGGGTGGGCCATTTAGCCCTTCCAAACAAATGCATGAATCTCATAATTAGTCCTAACTACTGTAAATCATACAGTGTAATTCTCTAGTGCCTAAAACTGAGATATCCCTTCAGCCTTAGCAAAGAGATTTCTGTTCTCAGCTACTCATTTTGTCTTGTGAGCTTTCAAAGTGCTGATGTTCCAAGAACATACGCTCTCCAATCAAGGTAGAAATACACACGCAACTGAGTTCCAATAAGGAGAAATTGGAAAAAATAAAAGAAGAATATATGATAAAGTGATCTTTCTACTTCTATGCAGAGAAAGAGAGGCATGTAATGAAAATATCTTTGTTTCCAATTCCATTATAAGCAACATTGAATCCAAATAAATTAAACAGTTTTCATTTTAAAGTATTAGATAAACTTAGGGTAGAAAGACTAGGATAGTCCTTGATTTACACTCTTGCTTAATGACATTTCATATTAATGCTGGCCTTGGAAAGAATGTTTTAATGTTTTTGCTTAAAACTGCTTTATTCTGGTCTCAACTGTGGTCTTAAATTGAGGAGTACCTTATACAAGAACAGTCCAATTACAGCTATCAAATGGGATTATCCTAGTGTAAAGAACCTTATTTAGTATTCATAAAACATTAGCAAAATGCTAAATAGCTTCCAGATTCCTTGTCTTGGAATAGGTGAGAAGAGAAATAGGCTCACACTTGAAAATCAAATTTATAAGATACTATATAAAATATGAGTGGTATATGTAAAAAGTGACATTGGCTATGAGTCATTATCTACTAAGTTTTATTTATCAAATTATACAACGAGTAATACACCGTGAGCTACACAGAATTTGTAGGTCTGCACATATTCTCCCCTTATTAGAGAGATTGCCAGGGAGGGCAGACAATTTTTATGTAGGCTTTCTCCTCCAGGACACAAACACGGCTACCACGTATGCAGTGGCAAAATTCTGTGTTGCTGCAATGTCCACAAGAAAAAAAATGGTTACAGTAGTATAATTGTCATCTTGTACCAATTATTTGGACATATCTCTAACAGTTTCTGGACCATTGTATTTACTCCCATGCTTATTGGCTTTTTACCCATGTAAAAGAGGGAGTGATCCAAACAATTTGAGAACATAGATGTTATTATCCACTTTTAACATCAATTTAATTATATTTTAATATTAGTACTTTTTAATGTATTGTAAAAAGTAATGTGTATTGCTGGTCTTTGACCGTAATAAAGATTTATACTATACTATACAAATGACTTTTATGAAACATAAATAAATCCTGACAATATGTACTATAGTTCATACAGTATAATAATTTCAGAACCTCCGTGTGATTATTTGAATAGGGAAATACTTGAACAAATGAAGCAGTGAAGATATATTTAAAGATAACAAATCCAAGCATGCTCAGTGAGGATAGTGAGAAAATCAAGATGGCAGCTGTAACCATGGTACTATTTAAAACCCACCCTTTTATGTGTGTTGTGATGTAAATAAAAAAGCAACGTGGTTTGCATAGATGTGGCTATTATTTTAATATTTTTGATGCAACCTGAAGACATTACAGAAATCAAGCCATATTTAAAGACCTCGCATGGATTTCAGAATCAATTTAGTCAATTTGTGGATTAATATGCTTAGGATTTAAATGAAAGGTTTGGGTCTCTATGTAAATTTCTCCAAATCTTCATATATTGGATGCTTCTTTAGGTCAGACTAGATATATGTCAAATATATAATGAATCACTTTTTTTGTAAAATCACAGATTGTATATCTTTCTTTCCATTTTAATTAATTAAAATAATTAATGTTATGAAGAAAAATATTTAAAATGATATCACAATATATCTGGAATTATCCTTTATTGCTGTCAAAGGAATTAAGAATTGGGTGATTTGTAAGAAGTCTTGCCACAGAAGCTATAATTTAAAAGACTTGGCATATATACCTCTAAATGTTTCTTTTGAGGTTAATGCCAATAGGCCAATTTTAAGGAGGAGTTTACCTTCTACAATGCCGTTAATGAGTTGTGAATGTTACTCTTTTAAAAAAAATCTCAAGGATATTTTATAATCAGTTTATGTTATCTGCATTTTCTTATTCTGCAACAAGGTTACTGTGATCTTTTAGGTTAAAGATAACAGAATAAAGGAAAAATTCATATTTAGAATCCTGTAAAACAGGAATAGTGAAAAGGCAGAAAGGGAAACTGCCAACTGCAAATCTCAATTTAACTCTTAACACTCAACAGACTTTTTAACTTTGGTAGCACTATCCAGATAGTTTGAACGACAACTTTGAATGACAACAAATTTTTAAGAATATGTTGGATAACTATTTGTCTGAAGTGGTGCAGGGTTTCCTGCCTAGGCAGGGGTTTGGATTAGAAGACTTCCAAGGTCATTTCCAACTCTGTTATTCTATTCTATTCTATTCTATTCTAATTTATAACTAGCATAACATTGAGCATAGTGACTTGGATTTCTGGATGGGATTTCTTGAACTCCTTCTATGGAAGATACTAAGGTGAGAAGTGTATGATTTTTTAAAGCATTTAATTACTCTCAGAGAATGCTTATGATTAATTACAGTTGTGCTTTTTTTGCAATAGTTTAATTTTATTTTTTGTAAATAGGACATCTGACCTTCTCAGACATGTACACTGGAAAACATCAAATATTACGTTCCAATCTTGCTATAATGTCTACCTATACATGTATTAAAGATGTATAAATTTCAAACTTCAACTCAAGACAGCTGTTCGGATCTAATCAGAAGCATTCTGATACTCTGCCAGTCTGACTGGAAGTGTTCCGACCTTGAATTGTTCATTTTAAGGTAAAAGCAAGCAAGCAAGCAACCAAACAAGCAACAAATAACGTTGGGTTATGTAGAGGTTGGTACTGTATATTTTCCTTAAAATTGAAACCTGAAACACTTCTAGTAAAGTTTGCTAACTTGTTTAGAAGAGCTGCATTTAAAATGCTTTGTAAATTTTTAAATATTGAACTTTGAACTGTTTCAAAGATGTTCTTAAGAGAAACGAATCACATAAATTGAACTCATTTTGGAACCCAATTCTCAGTTTTCTATCCTTTGTACTCTAAATGTATTCCTTCAGATGAAGATAACTGTTCGACCATTAATGTTATCTTAAGCAGACTTACTTAATAGATTTAATGTGATTACTATTTCTTTTTACCCATATTTAACCCTATTCACTTAAAATAAATCTTGGTTCATCCTCCAACTCATTCTTCCCATTCACCAAGTCTAACTGGTATGCTATTTTTCTGTTGCAGTGAATGCAAAAATCAATGTAACCACAAACACGGAAAAAGCATTGAAATCTCAAAATATTAAAATGACAATATAAGATAAATAGAACTAATGTAAAACTGTAGCATAAAGAGAAGGGCAAACTAAAATTTCCCAAGTACAAATATAATCCAAGTCAAAATAAATCACTTATTTGTTTAAAGTAACATTAAACAAATGTACATTTGCATTAAACATCTGTAGCTGGAATCTAACTATGAATACATGTTTATTTCACCTTCACAAGGCTGAACCAAAATGATTAGAAGTGAACAATTCTGGCAGGAAAATTTTAGAAGATCATAAGAAACCTCCTCCCCTCAGACATTTCAAGTTTTTTATTTTATTTTTTTTGTTCTGCAGAAGATTGTAGCTCCAATCAGAGCCAGCTGTTCTTCTGCATGAAAATGTATTGTATTTAGCCAAAGATTGAGTCTAAGAGACCCAGGGACAAAGTGCCAGCCCTTTAACTATTTCCTATTTTAGAGTCATTTGGATGATGATGATGATGATGATGAAGAAGAAGAAGAAGAAGAAGAAGAAGAAGAAAGAAGAAGGAGGAGGAGGAGGAGGAGGAGGAGGAGGAGGAAGAAGAAACATGAAACAGTGATACCCATTTTAATCTGGGCACTTGGTACCATGACCAAGAATTTTATAAGATACATCAATAAATTGCAGCTTCCTGCAATAAGACCAGCAGAACTGCAAAAAACTGTGCTACTCAGAACATTGTACATCTTACTTGGTTGATACATAGGACTCTGGCAGCAACCTATATCAACCACTAGCATCAGTCAATGGTATTTGTGATGCATTTTTGAATGTTGACTGAGTTTCATGTTTAATGAATAAAGAATATAAAAATGGAAATAAAAATTATTATTTTTATATTAGTTTTCTCCTTTTAATGTATCAAGTTTGAATGACATATATGTCCTTTGATTTTTGATGGTAACGATCATTTAATATGATTATGATAATAATTAGAACAACAACAGTGTTAACAACAGTAATATGGGATCAACAGCAAACGCCAGAATCTCCTCCCATTTTCTTAGGCTCCAATAAGTGCAATAAGTGTGTCTGGTGAAGTCTTTGACTTAAGACAGAAAACTTTTGCACTGCAAGTTTTTACACATCATTTTACATAATGTCAAAAAAAACCCTTCTAAATAATTTTTAAAAGTGGCAAAAATATCATGAGACTCCAGATAAGAACATAAAGATTTTTATATATTTGATTGTCATCGTTGTTATTGTAATCATCCTCATCATCAAAATCTGAAGGTCAGTAGATGAAATCCAGGGTCATCATGAATGTCTATATTACTGTTACACTGTTTAAGCTAAATCTGAATTTTGTGATTGTATTACTGTTGCCAGAAAGGTAATTATAGTTCAAATTAAATAGTATTGAGGTGTATCTCAATCACGTTTTGAAAGAGCTTACTGTCTCCTGCATCACAATACGAAAGTCAGGGATTCTGATTTTACTCATACATAACACATAAAGATGAAAGAACTGGATCTGTTTTGTTAAATATGTGCTTTCCTTCCTGATGGCTTCACAACTCTCTTATTCACACTTCAAAAGCAATCACCACCATTAATTCATGTTTGACACACATCTTAAGGGAAATCTCTAATTTTTCTTCAGAGCTAGATTTTAATTCCAAAATGATTGCTCTTTGAACATATGGCATTTTTGTAAACCACATTTCCTTAAAATGTTTTCTTTTTTAAAACAAAGTCAATTGCCTTGCACAGTTTCCATTATTGCTATGATTTTTTTTTCCTTATTTCTGCCATTGCTGATTCTGAATTAACAGCACTGAGACATTTATATAGTTTCTCTCATGTAAAATTAAAATAAATGAGTAAAATGCTTTTGCTTACTTTGGCAGTCACCCAAGCCATCAGTATTGCCATGCTCTATGTCCTGCTCAAAGGCCAATCTAAACAACATAAAGAAGCAGAGAGTAGCATAAATACACATGTGTCCTACCACACAGAATTCATACAGATAAAACAAATAAAAGAGACATTTATATTTTTAATAGTTGCATAATGCAAGCTCAAAATAATTCATTTTGCTTGACTTTTCAGTTATTCCTTTAGGAGAACATGTCTATATGAATATTTTTCTTTAAAAATACAAGACTGCATTAAAAGCTTTCCCCTGCCACCTTGACTATGCTCACACATATGAAGGAAAGGAGGATGAAATATTCATTAGTAATACTTTTCCATGCAACTCATTCACAATATGTCTCAAGCTTTTCCAAACTCAAAGATGAGCAGAGATACAAGAGTCTTCGGATGAGGAAGAGTTATTGAAGCTATTTTTCAAATGGAATGCATGTGTTGGTGTTTGGGGAGAGAGATATATATAAGGATAGATGAATATTAAGATATACAGCTGTCACATAGACAGTTCTTCAAAAAATAATGGAATGTGCAGAAATGAGTAAATTGACATTTGAAATTAGAGAGCAAGAAGATGAACAGTTTAATAAGGTATGGGACTTGTTCTATCAATGGTTAGATAAAAAAAACATGGAAATGAAAAATTTTGGAGAAGTTTTTAATATTGTAAGAATAATAGAATGAGATAGGTGATATAATAAAGCCATATTATTATTAAATAGATGTACAATGATGTAATGAAATATTGGTATATATATGAATCGAATATTTAGAATACTTTATTTAAAATAAAGGAATAACAACTGTAGTTGAACATATGATGTATAATGATAACAACGTATCTATGTATTATTGATGGATAATCTGCGATTTTATATACAATTGAAAATGGTGATGCATAAGTATTCTTTCATATTGTAAGAATAATAGAATGAGTTAGGTCATACTATAAAGACATATTATTACTAAATAGATTAATAATGATGCAATAGAATATTGGTATATACACGAATCTAATCTTTAGAACATTGGTTTAAAATGAAGGAATAACAATTGTAATTGAATATATGATTTACAATGACAATAATGTATCTATGTATACCTGATGGACAATCTGTGACTTTATATATAATTGAAAGCAGTGATGCACAAACGATTTGTAACCAAACGGCATGCTATATGTATATGTAATTGATGATGGTTTTATGTTTTATGTATTGTTTGTCCTTGTCTGTTTTAAAAATAAAAAAAACGTATATAAAAAAACATATAAAGCTGTCTTTTTATATCCAAAATAAATAAGAAACCATCCAGATACTTCTCAATTGCTATTTGCAGATGATATTTGATAGGCTACCAGGATCTGGATGGGGCAAAACAAACTCAAATTTAAATCCTAACAACATGGAGCTGCTGTCAGTAAACATCTGGTTGATTTGATAACATTGACTCTAGCAGTTTCTCTTAGAGGGTTTATGCTCTCCCCCCCAAAAGAGACATGGATTGTAACTTAAGAGTCCCGATGGACTTTCAATCCTTCTCAAGCAACAGATAGAAGCTGTGGCCAGGGAGTCATTTACCATGCTTTAGTTGATGCACCTATTGCAACTCCATATGTACCATGGATTGGAGTCACCAATCAATTGAACTATTGCAGGACACTCTGAAGTGATCTTTGAAGACAACTGGTAAAATTTGGGGCAGATAAATTACTGGGAAAACAATTTACCAATCATGAATAACACCAGTAATGTTTTTTATTGCTCCCCATATAAACCTCTTCAAACAGCATACAAATAACAAGCATGGCAGAGTTAGGGTTAAGGTTAGACTTTATGCTGTTATAATTACTTGGCAAACTTGAACACAGCAGCACTTATTTTCTAAAATCGAAGGGCATCCAAGAGTCATGCTCCAAAAGAGAAGACAGAAAATGTTCAAGACTAGCAGGTCAGTATTAGTCTTGAACTGGAAAAAATGAGAACAATCTGATGTGTCTCGAGAGGATCTTTTGAGCTAGATGAAAAAAACAAGCACCATCAGACCTAGGTTTATCCTGTGTTGGGCTAGCACAGTGTTAGTTTCTTTATAACAATGTTGTAATGATGAAGATGTACAATAATAGGACCTTTACAATTCTTATGTCAATTTAGAATGTGGCTTGTTTTTTGTATTGATTAAAGGAAGAAGAACTTATCCAAAGCATTGCACGGGTCTAATATTTATGTATCTTCATCCTTAATCAGAAAGAAGTCCGCTGAAATACCACTCTGGAAGCAGGGACAATAAGAAGCATGCATGTAGGTTTTCAGTGAAGCTTCTAACAAATGTTCAAAAGAATATTGCCCAGTATTATAATTGAAATAAATACATTCTCCCATGGCTAACTCAAACTTACGTGGCTCCAGGTAGAAGCTGCATGCATGCTCCACTTTCTTTCATCCATCCACAGTATGGGTCCCTAGAAGCTATGCAGGCCCTTAATAGAGGAAACATGTACAAATCATTCTGTAAATCCTTTGTTATTATTACTTCTGTGTCAGTATCAAGATGTCAGCGTATTTACTGTAGAGCATACTGTAGAAGTGATACTGAGGAATACGTACTTTTTGCATTTGCCATGACGCTCACATCTTCCCAGAGGCACTCTTATCAAACAGTTTGAAAATGCTACATAGAGGGCACGGCTTTGCTTGTCCAGTTGCATACCCATAATTCTCTTGTCCTCCACCCCATCATAACTGCACCTAATTTGAATGAATGGATTGCATAGTCATTTTCATTAGTCTTGAAAACTTTGATTATTAAAAAATATAAAATAGAATAAAATCAGGATCATATACATATTTCATTTAGACTAATATATTTGGATAACCTAATTTAAATCCTTTATTATATGAACGGAATGTTTGATTTGATGGAGTGTGTCGGCAGGCCTGGGGTCGATGAGTTCCCTTCCCCTCTCGAATCGTGTGGCTGTTAGTTGTTTTTATATGCCCTGTATTTTTTGTGTATTTTTTGTGTTTTCCTTCCCCTCCTTGGGTTGTGCGCCGTCCTGAGTCCCGATGGGAATAGGGCAGCATATAAATAAAATGAAACTCGAAACTCCAACTCGAGATGGGATATAATGTAAGTTGCTGGAGAGCCACAGGTATGATTTGTTTCCTTTCTGGTATGGTCTGAGACAACCAATGGAAGAAGGCGTTGGAGAATGGGTGGGGTGGGAGAAATCTATTCCTCACCTTTTGCTCTAGAACCATCATATGATTGAACTATATTTTGCAAAATATACTAACTCATAGCTATCATAAATGGAGAAAGGGGATAGTATTGCTTTTAATTTTTCCACATGAACACTAAGCCTTAAGGAACCATTTTGGCATCCAGTAAACAAGGAGCAAAAATATATGGAGACAGGAAGTGATTGTTGAAAGATAATATTGATGCACAGTTGCAACTGGAGTGAAGTTCAAACAAAATCCCAAATAATTTTCCCAGGGATGTGAAAGAGTCTCTTTGAATGCCTTATATTGTACTATTTGCATTTTATCTACATATCTGCATATAATCTTGTCTGTACTATAATTATTTACTGGGAAGTATTGGGAAGTATTTTTTTCATAAATCTACAGCAATATAAAATATATATTTTTATATTTAAAAATAAAATAAAAATTCCCTAGGAATTCTCTCCCATCAGAAAAAAAGCAATAGATAGGAATTCAGAACTAACTTGTTGCTAAATAATGTAATAAAAGAAATAACCATTGATACACACTTTTCAGAGTTATAAATGCTCATCTCCTCCAGGAAAAGGCTGTCATTTAGAAAACCACTGTTCCCTGTCCTGACCAAGAACTTCAAAATAATTCCTTTTTCTGATCCAAGGAAAATCACAGTATGGTTTTGATTAGGGCCAGCAGCATTATCTACAGCAATTTTCGTCAAGCGGTATCTGGAATGACAGCATTATAGTGTTAATCACCACAATAGTTTCTTTTTAAAATCTATTCAGATATAAGCACAATTCTGCACTTTGATAGATAGAATTTTTTTCTCCAGCATAAAACCAGGTTTAGCCCGGGTCAGATGAAGCTACCACAAGATTGATTTATGTATTTATTCAGTGCTTTCAAACACATCTGAACAATTGACAGATTATAACTTTCTCTCTGACAAAGTTGTTTTGGATCAGGCACTTTCATTCTATCAGCAGTTTACTGAAGGAGCAATGTGCAATACCTTTGTCTGGTTTGAATCAAAATACTGCACAGCTGTGGTAATACAGAATGTAGGGCATGCATATGTGCAAAGCTTTGCAACATGAAAATAATAATCAACATATTTTACTGTTGTTGGATTCTTAATCAAAAAACCAGTTTCTTCCAAATGCATAAACCCTTTCCCCACCCAGACATATCTTAAAATAAGTAAGCACTTCCATACTTGTGAATGTGTGTGAATACAGCAAGGTGTAAATCTACCTGTAAAATGAAGTTTACATATCAGCTGATATATTTTCAAGACACTCAAATTTACAGAGTCTGAAGGCTGTTGGTTTATATAATCTTGAAGGAGAAAAATATTATTTCTTTTCTTTTGCTGACACGTGAGTATTTGGATGTCAATATTACTCTCTGAACATGTGTATAAATATTGAATTTTCCTTAACATATCATGACAGACCTCAATACATCCTGAAAATATCCTACAGAAATTTTATATCCAGCCAATGTTTCCTTCAGCTACCCAATTATTTTATTCAGAATTTTCTATTGGATTCATTTAAAATTATGACTCAAATATAAACATGGAAGTTAGTATTTCCTTTGAAATATGGTTTGAGGGAAACCTGGTAAAAATTAGTAACATTTTTCTAGTCACTACAATTTATCGAACAGTACTATGACAATTACCTCATGCCTATTCTTGTTCATAAAAACTTAAAACATGTTATAATTGACTACTTTAATAGTCTGTCTATTTCAGAATTAGATTTCAAAATATAGTCAGTTCATTTTAGAGAGACTCTATTAAATCTCCTCAAAGGCTTTTAAATAATTTTATCATTCTGTATACTTACTTCCTTTCTTATAATACCCTGACTTCAGATTACTTTACAACAGTATTTTAAGTAATGTTGTTTCCAGTGCTGGTTTTAGAGGCCCGGGACTGTCCTGCTTGCTTAATTATCTTTAATTCTCATTTTTGCTTAATTCAATGATCAGTTAAAATCCTAAGTTATTGAGAACCAGGACAGACATGTGTGAGTTGTAAATTAGAGTGGAATTTCAAATTTGAGGGTAGAAGAAAATACCTAGTGAAAGAAATAGGAAGAAAAGCTATTTACCTAACCATAGTGCGTAGAAACCATGGCTTGTTCACAACTGATGGTACTGCTTCATCCATGAGAGAATGTGTTTTGATGAAATTTAGTGTGTCATCTGGAAATTCATTGGAGGATGTGTATTTTTCAAGTGAACTGGAACCTGCACAGGAACCTGGCCTAAATCAAAAACAGGTTGGAAGGAAATATGATTATGTTGCTTCTTAATGCAAATATTCTGGACAAGCTGTTTTCATATGCATCTGTTATTAGCTGAGAATATGCCAGAGGCTTTGTAGAAGAAACCCAACAATACATAAGGCTTCCAACTGAAGCTATCTTGTATTTTGTCTTTGGTCTATACTCTCTAGTGTTTCCATGATCCTACTCAGCATTCAGCAGTCACTTCCGTGAATACTAAATTTAGGACTATTGGTAAATATAAACATATTTAACAGAATATTGTTTGTAAGTTTACATTTTGTAAAGATGTCTTCACAGTTCATCCACCCACACAGTATGCCAACAAACACACAGTCTGGCCATGTTCTATTTATTTTTAAGGCATATTTCAAAATCAAGTCTCTTAGAATTAAGATAACTATGTTGATTGCAGAAGAAAATTTTTACATTTTTCCTCTTAAAGTATAATATCAAGCTATTTTAAATAAACAGCTTGGAGGGGAAATGTAGTCAGCAGCAAAGAGCAAGTATCCTCTTCTATGCTTCCAAGAATATTTTATTTTTAACAGCATGAAAACTTGAGCCATTAAAGCATTATTATGTAGGACCTTTTAATAACAAGACACAGTATCATCTATCTTGGATTACAGTACAAATATGCTCAGTTTATTCCTGGAATCTCCCCATATTTTATGGCAATTGGGCCAAAATAGTTATATACTCTTTTCTTTTGCTGACTATGCCCTACGCTTGGTTCCTTTTTCTGTTGTTTTTTTTCTTGTTTGCAGTAATGCTGATTGTCCAGACTTTGAACTGAAGGGGTGGGGAAACTCCTGCAAATCAATATCAAGCTTAATAACTACAAGTACATTTGAATTAAATATAAAAATGTCTATATTCTTTATAAATTATAAGTGTGATATAGGCAGTCATAATTACAAAGATTACAATATTGGATTATTAAAGGTCTCTACCATTACACAAACAATGTGTACATGAGAAAACTGCAGAGGTTGTCATTAGAATAAGTGAAGGGCAAAACAAAGTGACTAAAAAAAATTAAAAAAAATATAAAAAGAAAGAAGGTGAAACAGAAATGAGCAATTCTTCTTTGTAGGTCAAGATCAAAAGCAATAAATCAATACATTCATTTCCATTTGTATTGTAGTGTTGCTTGGTTTCATTTTTTAAATAATGAAAATTATATCAATTATATGTGTGTATATATATGTATATACGTATGTATGTATGTATGTGTGTGTATACATATATATGTATATATGTGTATGTATGTATGAGTGTGTATACACACACATATATGATTAAAAATTAGAATTAAAAAAGAATCAATCTCATCGTAGTTGACAATAAAGGTATCATTATTTGCAGACAATTCTTTCTCTTGTTGGCACAATTAACCTATTGTTTCTGCCTATTAATGATGACTGAGAATTATCTACACTGAGATATTGTCATTATATGCCAAATTTTTACGTTGATATTTTTGCTAGGAAAGCATTGAGTTTTCCTTTTCTAAAAATGAATTATACAGATTGGTTGCTTGCTTCTCATTTGTTTCACCAAATCCTTTATCAAAGATGAGAAGTCTTAGATTTTGCCTTTGAATGAATCACGCTGGTTACTTCTGCATTTGCCTCAACTCTTGCATTTACACTATATCTTAAGTTTCCCATGAAATGAAAATCCAAGGGCTTCCAGCCCGGGGATTACTGTGTATGTAACAAAGATATATACCTGGGTTTCGGCACTCTTTCATCAGGAACTGGTGTCCATATTGAATCTGGAGACTTTTGTTCTTTGAATCTTCCAATAAAGACACTGGCAATGTCGAGAATATCATAAGCGCAGACAGCAGAGCCAGGGATGCTGCAATGTAACATTTCCAGAAATAGTTACTCATTCTGAAATTATGCATTTTTCTCTTTCTTTCTTTTTGGTCTGAGAAACATACAGCACAGAAGCCTTCCTGTCATAGGTCATTCATTTCTGAATCTTGCAACCTTTTGGCATTGACAGTAAAAGGTTGCCTTATGAAGACATTTATATTGAAATATTCAGTGGACAGCCAATTTCTATGTTTTCATCTTCAAAAGATTTAAAAAATGTAATAGCACAGTAATAATTCTGATGACTCCCCAAGATGTTGAGATATATTCCTGTAACTTGAACTAAGAAATTACTGTATTATCAAGTTAAAACCTCTTTGTGGAGGAAACTGCTGTTGAAAATTGAACACATGCTCAGTGTGATACTGTCTGAGCCCTTGGTGGTTATCTAGTTGCATTCTAGAAAACGTTCATGTGTCGGACCAGGTATATTTTGCAGAGATGCACATTGCTCAGTCACAACCTATTTGGCTGTTGAAGTTGTGTCATTCCATTTTCCTGGATGTTTCTGGTTGAATTCCTATGAACAGGGATTTGCTTAATTCAGTCAACTGTAAAGAAGCAAATGCAGTTTCATCTTACTCCCAGTCCAATTTAAATTTAGATTATTTGCATGTAACACAATAATAGTAATCATCAAATATAATTACAGTCTTATACAAACACTTCTGGAATAGCTTTTTTGTTGATGGTTTTCATGTATGAATTATTTATTGATCTGTTTTTTATTGCTTACTCAGTCTGCTACATTACTTTTGTGTCTGACTTCAGCTACATGCTTCTGATGAGATAATAAGTACTATCTGGCTATATGTTAAATAATTTCTATTTACAAAGATGATATGATCAAATATACAAACATCTACATAATTATGACTTGTACTTTATAAAATGTGAGAAAATGCTAGAATCAAGAAGTTTACAAATGTAATAGTGGAAAGAAGTCTACTTCAGTAATAGTGACAACAGTTCCACGTGGAAAGCCAAGTTCTTTACTAATTCAATTAATTCTGCAGGAACATTAAAGCTGAAGATTGATTAAAGATGCAGCAAGGAAATGTTTAAAGAAAGTTAGACCAATTCTACTAAGTCTTTCAAATCCTTCTTCTTTTCCTTCTGTCTTCTTTTGGCTAAATACATCTAATTTTGAACGATTGCCTTCCAAACAAAATATGTCTATTCCTTGTGTTTGGCTGAATAGTATTTTCAATTCATGCCTTAAACATTCCCAAAGCAGCTGCTTTGATTATCAATAGGTCCTATTATGCCATGTTGCCATGTTTCATCCCAATGCAAAATGACAGGAGATTTATTATTAACTTTACTGAGGTCATTTTCTGACTTTAGGTAGCCAACATGCAATGGTGTATGAATACACCAAAACATGCAGTAATATTTGAGTATACTTCCTTCCCCTCAGATCTCTTGCATAAAAGACCACATGGGAAGGAAATAGGTTTTACGACAGTGCTAAATTTACTTTAATTAGTTAAAGTTTTCCACAGATTGTAAGAATAAGATATTTTAGTATATTTCTGTAAATGAAAAAAATGTAAGATGGGAAACCAGTGCTTACACAAACTTAAGTATAGGGGAATGCTTTTCATGACTTTTATTACCTGATATCAGAATTACTCCTATTATTTCATCTTATTCTTTTTTTTTTGTTCCACATAATAGAACGCAAAGAACATAGCCACATTCAAGCCATCTGTTGTGCTGGGCATTGTACAAGAAAGGGATGTCCATTAGAAGGAAGGAAACTCATGTCCATGAGGAAGGAGAATGATTTTCCTTGGCATGCTCTATTTCCCTGTGATTCACAAGGAGTACAATCTGCTAGAACTTGTGTAGGAATGCATTGTTCTGCCTACAAACTCCATTTGTTTTTAATAGTGCCTGAGCAGAGGATGTTTGCAATGAGTTGTGCCAGACATACTTAACACACACTACAAAATGGTTAGAGCTTCAGTGACTCACACCGTTTAATTCTTACACACCACAAACTAGTACATCTCCTTTTGTGTATGATACATGAATTCCAAATGTAGATACAATTTGCACAAGGAAAGTTCACAAAAATCACTTTCATACTTAAGAAAGGGAAAAATGCATAATTGCCCACATATATGATCTTGCCACTATTATTAATTATGAAACAAACTATAATGAATGTAATATATTATTGATCCAATGTAATGAAGATGCTGTTTGAAATGGGTAATGAAATACTAGGTTTTAATGTTACAATTTTTGATATATTTCTTTCATGAAGAACAAAACCATGTACATTAGGACAGCTGCAGATTTTTGCCATTATTTTGCTTTTTAAAACTCCATCTTTTTTCCAACAATATCATGATTAAATTCCTTGAGTTGTTCAAAGGTTGAAAGAAAGCTGGGGTGGTGGTGGCTCCCAAAAGCCTGCCATCTCCAAAATAGCCTGCTGATATTGTACATAGTCAGCTCATTGTAATACAATAATTGTTCAGTTTTGCCCATAAGCATCTCACAATACTTTATGTGGTAATGCAACAAACAGGAAACCCTATAAAGGATGAATAAAATGATTTACATTTTGGAAGAAATGGTTATTGTGGAAATAGGTTCAGAAAGATTGAAAGAGTTTGAATGAGATCCTCAAAGGAAACTGTGGCTTCTCGTGACATTTGCCCATCCTCTTTTCAGCTCCTGCCAATGTTCAGGAAGTAGGCTAAAATTAACTGTAGTGATTTAAAAGATGATTTTACAAAGAGAGGCCCGAGTAGTAGAATAGATCTAATCTCATGAAAAAATGGAATCGTATTTTTTATTACCGTGTTTCCCCGAAATATAAGACAGATTCTTCTTGGCCTTATTTTTGGGGAGGTCTTCTTATTTTTGAGGTACAGAAAATGGCGAGTGTGGTCACCTCATAGCTGCTGCTGTGTTGCAATACTTTCGGGGAGGGCTTATTTTGGGGGGAGGGCTTATTTTAGCATATGCGCTCAAAAGCCCAATTGGGCTTATTGTCAAGGGAGGTCTTTTTTTCAGGGAAACAGGATAGAAAATTTGTGGTTTTTCTTCTGGACACACACACTTTTCACTTTATACCCTTGTAAAAGACCCCGTGCAGCCATTGACAAGCTCCACATACTGAACATGTGTCATAGGGAAAATGTTGTGCAATCCTCCAGTATATGAATGAATGTCTTCTGTTTTATCCAGTAGTAGGTCAACACTAAAGGCTTCCCATGACAATTTAATTTGAAAAAGTGTTGTTTGTTTAAATTTTAAGTAGTGAGAATAACTTCAAGTAAGCATTAATAAGAGATTCTTATCTATTCTAATCAAAGCTTGGCAAACCAAAGTTCCTAGAATATGAATGTCATGTGAGATGGCTTGTGATTAATTCAAATTTGGAAGCAGATGTTATCAGTTGCCTTTTATGGTGTGCAAACGATAATACACGAAACAGGGAATAAATGAGTTCAAAATTTATGCATCCTGAGTTTTAGCTACAGATTCCCTGTTGACAAGTAGACAAACATGCATGTAAGCAACACAGTGGAAGATTTTGACAAGTACTTTCAAAATATTTTAATTAAAAACAACAACAACAAAAACCCACTCCAAAACTGCATTGCCAATACTTTTTCCTGGCTTTTTGGATTGTTTGTAAATTTTAGGAGAATAGGCAGGAAAACTCATTCTCAACAATAAGAAGAAAAGGAGCAAGTTAGTAATAATAGATGATTTTTCCAGTGGTTACAAGGAAAAATGGGAGGGAAGTAAAAAAGTCTTATGTACTCCCATTTTGTGTATTCTTCTCTAATTAGTGTAAGCAGACAAATCATAAAAAAGCTGAACGGTCACAAAATTATTGACTGCAATATCAAGTTAAAGATGCTTTTACTGAAATTTTATGTAAGTTAGCATTTAATAGCCTATTTCTTTATTTAAAGCAATATTGCCAAGTGGGTTGAAAACAGTTACCCTCTATAAAATCCATTACCTGTTATAAGGAGTAGAAAAAGTTGCTAAGACAATGTCCCGGCCATTAACTTGGGTAACATCGGTAACTGCCTGCAGTATGTTGAAATAGAAATGCGAATCACCAGGTACTGAACAGTTCAGTCGTGCCTTCAGGAAGGAAGTCCATTGCTTTTCTAGGACTCGTTGGGATCCACCCATGTCATTCTTGCAAACCCGAGCTACTCTGGGGAAAACTACCTGCAATGCGGAAAGGGGAATAAAGAATCTGTAATATATTTTTTACTAGAATTCTGCCTTTTCCTCTTGAAAAAAAGCAGAATTGGCAGAACTGAGTGCTTAATTGGATCTCCAATTTTCCTATAATCTGTGACAAATAACAAACAGAACAAAATTCAGCTTTGGAACTGTGTGCTATGAAAGATAAGCTTCTGACATTTCACATCCAGCCATAAATCCTTCAGGAGATTCATTCTCAGCCCATGTAAAACTCATTTCTATGCAGGCCACTCAGCTTTCTCTTCCTACAAACAAAAGGACATTCTGTATTTGCAATCCATGTAGCCCATACTGGCAGCCGGCATCCCATATCCCCAGCATATTTTATTTAAAAAAATATGGAAGACTCATCAAGCTTTTATTCATGCTTTCTCCTTTTTAACCTTGTAAGCCTTTTATTGTGGAAATATTCCTTAAAAGGTCTTTTCAGTAAAGGCTTTCATTGTGCTTTATTACATGGCAAGACTGAAATTTCTCCTCATTTACTTCTGCTGTTCATAGGAAGGTCTTTCAAATGCAGCTGCTCCCTTGCTTTAAAGTCAGTCTTGCTGTGAATTATTTGGAGCTTTGAATTAAATCAATTTGCCATGTTTTTCAGTTTAATTAAAAAAACACTTTGTCATAATTCCAAGCCAAAAGATTTTATATTTTATAATAGATTTTCCCTAATCTGTGCTCTTCAGATTTGTAGAACTCTCACTATCCCTAAGTCATCATAAGGAAGGTTTTTTATATCAAGATAACACCATGCCTCATTCCTACCAAAATTTGGCATGAACAGCAAAATCTTTCTCACAACAGTGACCTTGTTATTGTGATTTATAGCTCTCGTTTCAAGGTTATTCTCCTTACCTTCCCCATACTGTGATATTCCACTGCAATTTCTCGAAAGAAGAAGTAGATATAGTTACCATAATCTACTGCATGAACAAAATATGGTTCTGAAAGAAAGAAAACATGTGCTCATAAATATAAACACTTCCATCAAACCGTAAAATCAATCTAATCTGGGTTGAATATTTTTCATCTGCTTTTTGTAGGACATATTTAGTTTACCATACAGTGTGATTATAAATCAAGAGGATATGGGTAGGACGCTGGTCAGTCAGAGCTCTGAAAGCTATTGAAAAGATCATATATATGAAACAAGTAAATTAGCTTCATCCATGACTATCTGTTGGTCATCATTTTAGACATAGTTCTTATCTACAGAGAGAATCCGAGTGACCATAGGATGGATGGACACCCACCCACACATGCCCAACAGAGAAAGCGGGATTGACTTCTGACTTCCTGCCAACTTCTCCACTGACTTTCCTTGTAGGAAGCTAACAGGGAGCTTGAAAATGACAATGACATGTCGGGTGACAGCAGCAGTGAAGTGGCAGAGCAGCACTGAAACAGAGACAACTTTGCCAAATTTCAATGCCATGGGAGCCATAGATCTCAAATTTTGGATGCATTCTGTAAATTAGCCCATTTCGGGAACATTGTTTCTAAAATTGCTGCCCAATGGTGCACTGTTTCACCCAATTGAAAGTTGCAAACAAACAAACAGATACAAAGGTTTTAGTTGCATACAGATTCAAAAACTTCAAAATGCTACAATTGCTTAGGTACACTTAAGAATTATGCTGTCTGTAATGAAGCAATGGATATTATATTCAAATATAGTTCTAATTTTGGCAGTGGATGGATGATCAAATGAAGGCTAGGCTATTAAATATCCCATTTGACCATTCATTTAGATACAATTACTATCTACGTGGATGTGTGTGTGCAGATGTACATGGTGATGAAATGCTTGTATGATCTGAGACCAACATGCACAGCCTCTTTCAAGTTAATAGAAATAACTACAAGGAATTCTACCGATGAGATGAACAACTAGTGCCATACTCATAGGCAAGCATTTAGTTCAATAGTCTTTTCTGGACGTGGGGTGGGGGTAAAGCAAGTGAATCTCTGTATTGGAGGAAAGAGAAGACACTTATTATTGTCTAACTTTCAGGGTAACTGCATGGCCTAGAATGAAGACTACAAAAGACTCTAAAGTATGACAAATTATTAACTTAATATGATTAAAATATAATATGAAAAGTTTTGAGGTCTAGTAGTGTATGGAGACTCAGAGATAGAAACTGGGATTTTGATGGGAATTTTAAAAAAGGACTCACACGGCTATACATATCTTCAATTTTTATATATTTAAAGAGATTAGAACTATGTGAACAATGTTTAATATCCCAAATCACACTAAAATAAGCTGGAAAACCACATTCATAATGTATATCTGGTGATCAAATATTTGTCTTGCATATTCTTGTCCCCACTGACCTGTCCTTCAATTATATATATTTTACCCTTTACCCAATTGTAAGAAAAATAATCCTTAACTCAGAGGGCAAAAAAATTATGCAGGCCCATAAATCAGAGATACAACTATTTAATGTGCATAATTTACTCCAAAAATGGAACTCCAATTCTATTTATTTGCAGACACAGGATTATTTTTATCAAAGAGAATTAACAACATAGTTACAAGCTGAAGTAATTAAAAAAATGTCTATAAAAATGCAATAATTTCAAAAAAGAACTGTAAAAGTCATCATTTACAAACTGTGAGAGATTGTAATATGGTGGGAGACAGAATGGCTTGGTGAATGTTTAACCATAGAATCACCACGAGTCAGCTGTGATTCAATGGAGCACAACTACAAAAACAACTGCAGTCTTGTTTTTTGCAACTGTTTATGGTCCCCACCAGTATCTCTTTCCCCCCTCCATCTCTTTTGCATTTTTTGTCTATAAACAAAAAAACCCCTTTCTCACAACATAATGCTGCATGGCATTCATTCATAATGCCATTGGAAAAGAATGAATGGCAACTTTTTTTAAACAATGAGGCTATTAAGGACATACAAATTGCCTAATTTAGCGGCACTCATTCATTATTTCTTGACAATAAAATGGAGGCTCTGATATTCTACTTTTTTTTGGTGTGTCTCAACACTGCAGAACAAATCTTCCACACTTCACAAAGCCTAGATTGCCTAGTGTCCCATCAGAGGGAAGAGCTGATGGTGTCAATCACTTTCCTAAAATAACTTTTTACCCCTTCCTTGTTCTCAATCTTTGATGGAATATCTAGCCTTTAAACATTAATTGGATGCTATCTATTTTGGTGGCTCTTGTGATTTTGTATGAATACCTAGCAACTAAAAAAAAAAATCAGTGGAACAAGTGTACTGTAAAAAAAGGCAATTTCAGTACCTCTACTTGACAGAATGCATTGCTGAAATAAAGTATGGTTTCTTTGTGCTTTAAAGATCTATTCTTTGAACAATCACTAAAGGTTGAGATTTTGAAGAAGCAAAGCAAAAGTAAGTAAAATAAGATCATAAGGTCTACAGAGAATCCAACAGTGTAATCCAAAATGTGCCCCTTCTTCCTGTAGGTCTTTATTTACCTTTCAACCATTTTGAATCATGTTTGACTGTCCGCAGCGTCGGGCTGTCTCCAAGGCTCCGGTAAATGACAGCATCTATTGCAAGGAAGTCTGTCACAGTGGCAGAATACAGCTTTCCCTCTTTTGGGGTAGAATTGGAAATCAGGGATACAGAAAAAGAAGAAATGAACAGCATAGTTGTATCTGCTAGGTAATCATGGAAACAGCCCATCCAAGGGGTCTTAAGACATGAAAACAGTTGGGTTAGGGTAATGACCCATTTGGATAAAAAGCCCTTCCTACTCTCAGCACTCAAAAAGGAGGCAGAGCTGAAGAAGAATCTCCCTGGATCCTCCTTGGACTATATCCCACTTGCAGACTGCACGTATCACATGCCTGATCTAATCATAACAGTAGAATATATCAAGATACAGTATGTTCCTAGTAGTGCAACTAGATCATTTTAAAAGGCCTAACACTCTTGTATCCTTCCGCTTCACACCTACATCTTAATTTAAATATGCAAAAAGCAACTAATGTTAATAATTTTATCAGGAAAAAACTATGCGTTTGAAAAGAAAATGAACATAATACAGTTAATCTCTGGGTAACTATGTTCTTATCTCAATTATTATTATTATTTAATTAAGAAGAAGGAATGCTCCATTGATGAGTTATGAAGCCTGTAGGATCTCAGCATATACATATGCCAGAGATGTTTGCTGCTTCTCTATCACCTACAGTTCTCTGGTGATTTATCCAGCTCTGCCTAAAATTATTTTATTTATTTTATTAGTATTGTTTGCTGCCCATCTTGCCTCGAGGTAACTATGGACAGCTCACAACATTAAAAGCCAATAAAACCATAAAAATAAATATTTATAATAACAGTAAAAATTACAGTTAAAAAGATGAGGAGGAATACAACAGAATGCATATGGTAGGAGGAGTGGGGGCTTCTCTTAATCTGTTAACCACCTCCAGGGTTATACCCCCCCCCCGCGTTGGGGTTCTAAATTAACTGGCAGAGCCATGTCTTCAAATCCTTAAGAAATATTAGAAGGGTGGGAGCAGGAAAGTAGGAAGGGAGGGAGGTCCCCCACCCCAAAAATCAAGATATTCTTTTTGCTAATTCACCTATTTCACTGAGGAATTCTTAACACCAAAACTAATTTTCAGGATCTGAACCTAATACTTATAAGCAGAAGATGAATGATTTGCTTTACTGTGCTCTAAAAGATCTAATAGTTAAACTTCTGTTCTGGAGCACATTTCTATCTGCCCCACAGAATGTCATCTTCTGTCCTCCATTCTATTATATAGACAGCAACGCTAGCTTTTTCTAATTTGGTAATCAACTGGGATGATCATTGCTGCAATAGGTGGTCCAATAAGTCTGTGCCAGATTGAAGAAGGCTATTTGAGCAGTATGTAAATCAACTGTATAAAGATTGGGAGTACAATGGAAATAGATTCAAGTTCCCACTTTAAACTTTTTTTGTTGCTTGATATATTTTTATAATCAAGTGTAGCAGCATTGGCTATCTGTATTGGGAAAGACCTTGAGAAACAGAGGGAAGAGATTCTACCTAGGTAACAGTCAAATAAGAGAAGGCGTAGTCCACAGCTGCTTTAATGGATGAAGAAAGAACTCAGAAGAGACTGTTTCTAAGTTCTAAGATAGTGGCAGATTTGCACTTTTAGATTTACAAGATTCTGTTAATGGAGCTTTATAACAAAGTAGAATTCATTTATCTGTGTCCTGTCTGATCTACTGGTAAAGCTGACATCAATATTGGAAGACTGAAAGTACAATTCTCCTCCATCTCCTTTACAGGCCAAGAAATTAGGGAGGGTCCCTTCTCAACTTCTTGCCCTGACTTCAACTGCAGGATATTCTCTCTCTTTATCTGACTGCTCCCTAGGCTGTAAGTCTTCATTCCATCTCCCAAGGTCTTTCCCACATTCTGTTACACCACAATAGAGCAAGGCTTTGTAAAAAAAAAAGTCTGAATAGTTATTCAAAGTAATTTCCATAGTATTGCTGAATATTTTATGGCTATTTTTACATTGGGTTTGTAAGGGTTGATGCTAAGAGAATTTCAGTAATGAAACAATTTAATCTAAAATCTATAAAGAACAAAATTCTAAAATACCATTCTATAATCAATGGCCCAAATTAACCCCACTAACACATACTCATATTTTTAAACCATTGCAAAAAGAATTAAGAGTTAATTGCATTTCTTTGCATGCATAATACATCATGATTAAATCCACAGTTGCCATTTCAGTCTCCTCCCTTGCCTCAGTTGGTAACAAAACATCAAGAAGCTTAATCTCACCAGGTTTCTCCTTTTTTCTCCTTTCTATTTTATCCAGCAAAGAATAGAAGCCACATATAATAGCTTGTTAGCTTAACAGCTGAGATAAAGTATTGTATCTTATGAAATAATTTTCTGCCTACTCTAATTCAAAGTTACTTTACCACTGTAAGTATACAACAGAAAATGAATTTATTTTCCAAAGTGAGAATCCCATGTTTATTTGTTTGACTATTAGCTAATTAGTGTAAGCCATGTGATACCCAATAAATGGATAATTCCACCCCCTACTGCCCATAAACATATCTCAGGAAGGAGCTATAATTGTACTCTCTAAGCACCACATTATATAAGAGAATATTTTTATCCTTTTATGTTACCTGCAAACAGTGCGACATTGGCGTGCTTTGCATCATAAGGACATCTAGCCATTCCACTAAATTCATCTCCCAGAAATTCCAAAGTATCCATCTGAAAAATAAAACAGCATATTTCTTTACGAATTAATACACAGGGCAGGGATCTTGCATAAGGAATTGTTTGAAGAGTTCTTTGTATTGGAGAAGCCACCTAAATGATTATTTCTCACTGACCTCGGCTATGTCAAGAAGCTAAGCAGGGTTACAGTTAGTTATTACTTGGATGTGAGATCAGGGAGCAATTTCAAGCCTGTCGGCTAGATTGGGAAGTTGAAAAAAAGTGGCCAAGAAAATTACATGGATTAATCCATGAAGTTATAAACAATTAAATCAGCATGAAGGAGACTTGCTCTTTACCTATGCTGTGTAAGACCATTTTAAAACTACAGCAATAAACTGTACAAACATTGAGAAAATGTTCATAGATTAGAAGTTATAGCCTCAATTTCCTGGTCAAATACCCTAGGTCACACCAAGATAATTGGTGCTAAAGCAGCATTTGCCACTCTGAGTGTAGTCTTTCCCTAAGCCCAAGACCAAAAATATATCCAAATAATTAGAGGTACACCTACTTGTATCTTTTACTAGGCTATGGGGTTTATTTTTTCCACCGAGGCTCAATCATTTCAAAGGCTGTTTGGATTTCAGTAAACATAATACCAAGAACATCAGTTTGTTTCACCTCAGTCTATTCAAGTGGATATTGGCTGTTTTGCCATCCTCTGCTCTTCTTTCTCTCATGTGCACTTTTCTAATTTGGAAAGGGGACCTGCACCCCATCTGAACTGCTACTTCATACTATCAGTAGTACTATAAATGCCTGATTGAAAAATAGTGCTGTGTAGCATCCCTTTAACTTTCAGAATTCAGATTTCTGTCAGCAATGTGTTTTTGGAAGGTGGTTCCTCAAATTTAAGAGTGATTAAAAACTATGCAAGAGACACAGATGTGAAACAGAACAAACTAACAAGGCTCAGATAATCTATCCCATCAGATATACTGAAATTAATCATGTAGAGACAAAGCCAGGCATCACCCTGCCTCCATTTCTATCTATTTTTCATTTCAACCTCACACATGTCTGGAAATACCCTATGGTGTCCTGAATTTAGGAAGACTCATCAGCACCGCTTTACCATCTTCCTTGAGATAGTTTGTAGTAGTAAAGCTACAAGGAGTAAAGAGGCTGGGTGAACATTCTCCTATGAACATTTTTAAAATTATCTTGTTACTGAATTATAAGTAAGGCTGAGCAAATGTGATTATGACAAATGATCAAGTTCTCATAATGATAGGGGAGGCCTGTTCATCCCTATACTACATGCAGCATTTATGACCAAAAACAACAACCGTATTTTTTATGGTTCTCAATCAGTGAAGATGCAACTTTCTTCTTTTTATTCCCCCATATAATTTATGAGGGTTTTTTTTAAAAAAAAATCTCTTCCAGAAAAACTTCTACAGAATTGGTTTGAAGTAGTATCATGTGTAAATCGTTCTTCTTCTGTCAATAATTAATCTGTGAAGTACTTAAAATCTCAGCTTTAAGTGCAACCCCTGGGAAAATAATATTCTACTGAGCAGCAATAATTATACAAATAAGCAGCTCAATGCAAAGCTGGTTTACGGTGGAAACCACAGGGAAAAGTGCAAAGCCTACAGGCTTTAAGATTCAAGTGTGTTATGATTACTCAGTGGTGACTTTTGCTTTATAGCAGTTCAGATCTACCTAGCATATTCAATTTACTTCAACAGAGTAAAGTAAGATAAGCAATTTGAATTGTGTGGATAATAAGGCATCTAAGCATCATTTGTCTCATCCAATCAATTGCCAATCCCATGGGTTGAGAGACCTCTTTCAAGCATTGGATGATTTGTCATTGTTTCTTTCCTGTCATGCATCTTCTCTCTCGACTTTCTAAATGGAATCATTTGTGTCTTCCTTAGAATGAAAGCATATTTAAAGGAAAGGTAGAAGGGAAGGAGCTTTGTATAGTGCATTACATTCCAGGGCCATCTGTGTATTTACATAGGCTTTTGAAACATGATGGTAGTGCCAAGGCTTTTAGATCAAATGTTCTAATATATTAGCATAGATATTTCATTTGCCTTCTAAAACCTAAATGTATTATTGGGAATAAAACTCTCTGACAGCCCAGCAGTCACTGAAAAATTTAGCATGGTTCTATTTATAAGAAGAAATATCAGTATTTGCCAAAATAATGAAAAGTTTGTTATTATTCCTCATATTATCTTTCCATCTCCATCCTAAAAGACATAGGTAGAAAATAACAGTTTTTCCACTGGGAGCTGCCTGAAATTTGTCTGGCAAATTTATTTTAGAAAGTACTAAAATGATTTCCTGAACTATATGTGCAAAATACTCTGAACTTGAAACATTCAGTGGTTAACTATTCAGAACTTGAAAAAAATAGAACAGTGTTACGCATTGAATACTATTATTTTCCTAACTTCAAAAAAATTGATCAAAGGAGGAATGAAAGGAAGATTAGATCTATATCTGCATCTATTTTTTTTACATAGCAAAAAGTGGAAGTAAAAATGAAATTGGCCAGGTTTCGTCCAACATGACCGCATCATTTTAAAAAAAAACTTTTTTGACCCATTTTTTAAGATAATATAAGTCGCATTCAGAATACACTACCACCCATGTACATTTCTAGCCTTAGGACAAAAAAATAAATTACCACTGTTTCCTATGGGTAAATAGTAAAAATATTTCAAACTTTGTATTATTGGGATACAGCCAATTCAATATGTTCATATATCATGCTTTGAGTTAGGATCCAAGTACTTCCCTGTCCATTTTCTTTAAGTTAAAGGTAAAGGTTCCCATCGCACATATGTGCTAGTCGTTCCCGACTCAAGGACGGTAATCATCTCTGTTTCAAAGCCAAAGAGCCAACGCTGTCTCTGTAGTCATGTGGCTGGCATAACTAAACGCTGAAGGTGCATGGAAAACCATTACCTTCCCACCAAAGGTGGTCCCTATTTTTCTACTTGCATTTTTTACAGGCTTTCGAACTGCTAGGTTGGCAGTTGCTTTCTAACTGCTAGGTTGAGTAACTCTTTAAGTTACTCAAAGTAAAAACAAAGCAGAACACCCTAAGTACCCACACACTCTCACATAGAAGAAAGTGTCATCAATATATACCCTTAAGAGCAATCATTTGCTAAAAGAAAACAGAAGAAATAATTTTTATGGCTCCACAATAAGCTAGATGGAGCCTGATTCCCCCCCCCCCAAATTGAGATGAATGTGAATTACTACAGTATTCAGTTGCTTTGACAATCAGCTTAGATTCTAATTCCAAATTTACCCAAGATATATTTTTGAGAGGACACAAGGGAAAATGGTGAATCACTTCTAGGAATACCCTGCACACACCCCCGCCCCCCAGGGGTGGAGGGCAGGACTTTAGTTCATACTTTTAAGAATTTAAGGCTAACATTAATTGTATAAGCATTTATGTGATTTTAGAAAAGGCAGAGCCAATGATTAAGAGTAATAGTAAACAAGAATCAAGAAATATGTTATGCCATATGAGCAAACTATTCTGTCTTTTATCACTGTGTCTAACTCAGTGTGCACATTCCTTAGTAGATGAACTTGGGAGGGTTACCCCCTAAGATGCTTTTAGAACATTCTTTTTGCAAGCCATGGGGTCCTATGATTACCCCATTCTGATTATAATTCTTTTCATATTCACCAGCTGAGTTCACTATTATGATATTCAAACTTCTTACTCAATGGAGACAGGCCTTTTCTTTAGAATCTGAAGTGTTTTAAACAGTGGTTTGTTTGTTTGTTTCTTATTTCTCAAATGCCGAACTGGCTGATCTCTGAGAAGCTGATCCTGGAAACCATCTCGATGAATCACTTGTTATAAGCGAAAGAAGAATTGATTCAAAATTTGAAAAGCCGACACTAAATAATAAATGGCAGCAACAGAAGAGAATTTTATTTGTAGTCTGAGAAAGTACCGTTCCCTGAAGAGGAAAGTGGCTGGCTTTATTAGGAACGAATTTGGATAACTGACCAGTAAGGCTGATGAGCACTGACTTCTTCACTTTTGGACGAGCCAATTTCCTGTTGCACTGTCCTCTCTGTGGGCTGTGTGCAAGACTGCTGGGCTGGGCATAAAGCCACAATTAGCCTCCTACTTCCATATGCTTGGGTTAACTGCCGATTCTTCGCTCCAGGCATCTACTTTCAAGCCTCTGCCTTTTAATTAGCAGCAACCAAAGGGATACCGTGAGTGTACCAAATTGCAGTATCATGTTTTATGAGACAACCAAATATGATCTGGATTATTCTGCATTAAATACAGGTTACAAACAAATTGTGAAAAAAAAAATTCAATTCCTTCAGCAGCAACTTTCTTTTTCGGTTCAGAATCAAGCATTTTATATATTAAGTTCCATGCAAATATACAGTTTCTACAGACACTGAGCTTGTCAATCAGAAAGGTCGGCAGTTCGGCAGTTTGAATCCCTAGTGCTGCATAATGGAGTGAGCTCCTGTTACTTGTCCCAGCTTCTGCCAACCTAGCAGTTCAAAAACATGTAAAAATGCAAGTAGAAAAATAGGAACCACCTTTGGTGGGAAGGTAACAGCATTCTGTATGCCTCCAATGTTTAGTCATGCCGGCCACATGACCAGGGAGATGTCTTCAGACAGTGCTAGCTCTTCGGCTTTGAAGCGGAGATGAGCACCACCCCCTAGAGTCAGGAACAACTAGCACATATGTGTGAGGGGAACCTTTACCTTACTTCATTTCTGTGAAACGAGACTTCATGAACCCTGCCACGGCTCAAAGCTCTGCCTCAGACTGGGAATGGTTATGCTACAGCGACTATTCAAGAGATGTTACTATTCAAGTTGTGTTACTTTCTGTAGTTGAAGAACCAACTTCCTGAGGAAGAAGGAATTTCTCTGAACACAGTTTTGTACTTTCTGGCTTTCATACTGATGTAAAAACTAATGGCAAAACCTTTCAAATTACATGCTTTCTTTCAAATGCAATGCTT